CATCTCATGTTCGCAGTTATATTAAATGGTAATACATTGTGGGAAAATTGATGGGATACATTAAATTATCATTAATGATCTTAATGAAATCAGTATCACTCACTTTTTGATAATAAATTTGACCTGCTAGAAATAGATTTTCACTTGATTTTCTTCATACTTCAAATGCAAGTGAATTTGTAGCCAAGTGTCAGAATGAAATAAAATAGACTATACTAGTTACACGAACCATATTTTGATGCACCTATAAATTGTTTCATTGAGGACTGCCTCAATTTAAAATTTCAGTCAATAGCAGATTTGGTTACAAATTCAAATTTGATTTCTAGGATCTATTGCCATTTTAGTATGGAAATCTAATGGTTTATTTTTAGATCTTACTTTGATCATTGAAGTAGTGAAGCAAAGAAAGGATAACCATTGTTATATTGTTTAGTGCATCGAGATCCAACATTGGAAGTAGACTATTCAAACTTATATTCTATACTATGGCTTCAAAGTTATCAATATGTTGCTCATTGCTTCAAAGTTAATCAATATTTTGCCTAGTGCTTCAAAGCCTCAACTAGAAATAGAGTGAAAAATCCAGTCATATAGCATATAAATAATGAGTTTAAATCATTGAAGCGTATTATGCATACAAAAGGTAAGAGGAGGGAAATCCATCTCATATGTTGATTATACATGAAGGGTCTTTAATAAATAACAAGTATTAAACCATTATTTGTTTGAGATAAACAACTCTAATGTTTGGATTCCAACAAATTGGTGTGGTGAACGTGGAGTGAACATGAGTGGTTGAAGAGTTTTGTATTTGAAGATTCCTTGTATTGAAAGTCTTTCTGACAAGAAGTTTTAGGTAAGTATGTCCTTTGTGATAAAAATGGCAGTACAAGAAGTTAATGGTTGTTGCTTGAGGGGAAGGAACTCACACTGAAGGGGAGATTCTTCGGATTCCAAGACTAAGTTTGGTCCTACATTGATTAGGAATGAGTAAGATGAACTGTATATAAAAAAGAAGATCCATAAATTCATTGCTTTAAATTCATTGGTCTCTCTTATTAATGCTCATGGCACATTAGTGTCAAATCTCTTTGGTGGTTCTCCTTGCAAGAACCCAACAAATGTTTCAATAACGTGGAACGAACACCTGAGTGGTTGAAGAGTCATGTATTTGAAGATTTCCTTGTATTGAAAGTCTTTCTGATAAGGGTTTTGGAAACACATATCTCGTTGTAAACAAAGGGTCACCATTGATTAGGAATGAGCAATATAAGTAGTATATTAGAAAGTAGACTCACAAGCTCATTGTTTTAAGGTTTTGAGTTATAGGTGGTTTCTTGGTCTTTCTTATATGTAGTGCTCACAACTTTTTGGTGCTGACTCCTCAACGTTTCCTCTCATAAGAACTCAACATCTAAAATTGAAAGCCAGTTCAAACTAATACCATGGTTTGCAAGTTTGACCTGCTCATCTGTTTTTTCCCTCTAGTTCTTTGTTCCTCTTCCTCCTGCTTCTGCTTTATTGGTTAAACAAACTGAAAACTGGATAAACAATTCACTGGATTTTCAAATTTAACCAAGCCAGTTAATTAATCAAAAGTGAATCTATAAATTTGGTTTCATTGGGAGTACAATTGTATTGATTTATGAGTAAAGTTTGTATATATGAAAATTTGCTTTAATAGTACAATTTGTTATAATGTTAGCATCATCTAATATTTTGTTTTGGAGAAACTATTAGCAGAAGCATCCCATGAAAAATGAAGATTCAGCTGATTAATTTTGGCTCTATAAAACGGTAGATTCCAAATAGCGTGATTCACCTGAACTAAAATACTATAGTTCATCTGTTATTCTCTCTTATGGTACTTTTTGTAATATGCTTCTTTGTTTTCTGCAATCTCAAAATATTTGGGTTGCTTCAATGGAACAAAGGGAAAATTTGAATCACATAGAATGAGAGAGGACTACGGAATCCAAGGGGAGGAAAATTTCACCTTCCAATTTTCATTTTTGTTGAGTTCCATATATCTGGGGTGATCTTTTCATCTTTTGTAAAAATATGTTCTAGTGTTTCATCTCTTAGCAATTTGTTCCATTATATCCAAGTTTCCTTTGGTCTCCAGATTAAGATGTGATTTCCTTACGTGTTCTTCATATTTAGTTCAAAATTGTATTTTTATTAAGAAAAACAAAACATCAATTAAAATGTTTATGAAATATCGTTGGGAAGTCTCTATCATGGAATATTGTCTTATGAGTGTGGAATGTTTGCAGGAGAACAATAGGAGCGAACTTGAAAGAATTGACCAAGAGAGAAATAACGACTTTCAAAGCATGCTGCGAGGGTTTGTTGTCAATCAAGTAAGGTTCATTTATGTTCTAAGTTCTGTTAGCTGTTACGTTTAGGCGGCGCTCATCGTTTGTGGTTCAAAAAAGTTGCTAATCCACGTCATCCATTTTACAGGCAGGCTATGCGGAGAAGATGGCAGCTGTGTGGGAGAAGCTTGCGGAAGAAACAGCTGCTTACTCAAGAGACAGCAGCTAAAATGCGCTTGGTGTAAATTCTGATTTCACCTTTTCTATGCAGTAATTATAGATTTTGGTTTCATTAATTTAATTTTATGTAGTTTCATTACTTTAGACGAACTTTTAGTTTTAACCCTAGAGTTGTATATGCATATATCTTTTTTTTTACCGTCGACATTCGTGATATCAATGTTCTTAACTACTCAGAGCTGTACATTTCTTGTTTTAATTTTTAATTATTGTGAACGCAGTTGAAGGTCTAACCCCCAATGGTTTCCTTTTTTACGTGGCACTTATATATTTTGGTTTCATTAGTTTAATACAATATTCGTTTGTGGTTTCACTTTACGAACTTAGTATACTGGAGAAGGGAATGACAGAGAGATGGCGATTGTTTTTTGTATTTGATTGGAGAGAGACGGGAAGAAAAGTTGACTTCCTCAAAATATACTTTTCCTTCTATTTTAATTTTACTTTTTTTTCTCATCCACTGGGCATTAAGTTTTTCCGAGAATTTATATATGCACGCAGTGCTTTATTTTAATGTTTAATTTTTGTTGTGGTGAATGTATTAACTGACTATCTAACCTTAAATGCGTTGGGTTAGAATCCACTGATTGGTGGTGTTATTAACTGTTAAATTAAAACTCAAATTTTCACAGGAAATTTGTGCTTTTGATTTTCACCGCTGCAATTATCTACATATGTGACGAAATAGAAGAATTTAACGCAAACCAGATATAGTTTATATTAAAATGAACCAATAAGTGTTAAAGAGAACACTTACAGATTTAAGCACACTACTATATATACAGACACTAGAATTCCTAGCAGGCAAAAAGAAATTGATGTTAAGAATGAAAGAATAATAAACTAGCTACTCTACTACGTTAGTCCTAATACTCATTCACTGGTGGAAGGGATGGCTCCATCGTCACCCGAACTGGCTGATATCTCCGGTCTAATCTCTTCAAGCTGCTGAAGGACTTGCTGGACTTCTGGTCGTGCTGATGGAGAAGGATCAACACAGTGCAAAGCAAGCTTCAACGTGTTCAGCATTTCGTCGCCATATGTTGAAGCATCTCTCATCAACTCTACATCGAAAACTTCATTTGTCCACTCCTCTTTGACAATGGAGGCAACCCACTGAGGTAAATCCACGCCATTCAAAGCCTCACCAGGTGGCTTCCCCGTTAGGAGTTCTAACAAGATGACACCAAGACTGTATACGTCAGTTTTTGTGTTGGCTTTCTTAAGCTTCGAGAGCTCAGGTGCTCGGTATCCCAATGCCCCAGCAGTGGCAATCACGTTAGAATTAGCAGCAGTTGTCATCAACCGAGAAAGGCCAAAATCAGCTATTTTAGCATTCGTATACTCATCCAGCAGCACATTGCTGGACGTAAGGTTTCCGTGAATAATATTTTCATTGGAATGAAGGTATAACAAGCCACGAGCCATTCCCTGCGCTATTTTCATCCTTGTTGGCCAATCAATGGCTGTTTCGGGCCCACGAGCTGCACAAAGATGGAAAACTGTCAATACAATAGTGTGTTGACAAGAAATTAGACCGACTTTTAACTGTACCATGACAAGAAAAAATTATCACTGCAATCTTACCGTGTAGGAAAGAAGCAAGACTTCCCTTAGGCATGTAATCAAATACTAGAAGCTTTTCTCCTTTGGGTCCCAAGTAATAGGCTCTCAATGCCAGAAGATTTGGGTGTCGAATTCTTCCTATAATACTAACTTCAGATTCGAATTCTTTTTGACCTTTCGTAATCTTTTCCCTCAATCGTTTAACTGCAGCTTGACTTCCATCCTCTAATGTAGCCTTGTAAACAGTTCCATACGTACTCTTTCCCATTATCTCTGCTGTTGCACACAAGAGATCATCAGCTGTAAAAGCCAATGGTCCATCAAAGTGGACTAGTTTACCTCCGGCCTCACCACCACCAGCTTCAGCTTCACCTGCGACAGGAGGGACTCTTTTTTCTGTCGTGGCAGCAGATGCAGATGCTCTCCCTGTGGCCTGGCCACCCTCTGCATTCGATGCTGTTCTTTTTCTGATCAGGCAGAATAGCAGAATGCAGCAAAGTGTTACCAGGACAACAAGGAGCACTCCTGCTACTATGAGAATTATGTCTTTGGTGCCTAGTTTATTGTGTCGATGGTTTTCTGATTTTTCTTTAGGTGAAACAAAAGGAGCTGGCGAGGGACATGGGGTTGAAGGGCTATATCCACATAGCTGAATATTTCCCACAAATGAGCTTGAATTAAATTTATGCCCAAGTAGGGCTGGAACCGGACCAGAGAGGTTGTTATGAGAAACGTTGAAGAAATTAAGACCACTCAGATCTTCAAAGGATGCTGGAATTTCTCCACTGAGATTATTCATTGACAAATCAAGCTGTGTAAGCTTTGACATGTTTCCAATACTCTGAGGAATATGGCCACTGAATTGGTTTCTGCTCAGAACCAGAACAGATAGATTGTGCAATCTGCCCAAGGCTTCTGGGATTTGATTACCTAGGTGGTTGTTCTCTACATTCAAGAGAGTGAGAGAGGACACATTAGAGAGAGTGGCGGGCAAGCTTCCGTTCAATGAATTACTAGAAAAATCTACCGTCTTAAGTCTATAAAGGCTTCCAATTTCATTTGGGATAGGTCCTCTAAGCTGGTTATGACTGAGAGAAATCTCTGTGAGTTCACTCAAGTTGCCCAAAGAAGCAGGAATGGTGCCACTAAAGAAGTTATAATCTAGGATCAGATTTTGGAGGCGAAAGAC